ATGCTCCCGTTCATCATCGTGCCCTGCAGCCCTCACGTGTTCCAGCTGATTAACTCCTCCTGGAAAAGGCAGCCAAGCTAAGCTCCCTGAGCCCTCTGGTCCTGCAGCCACCTCTTCTGTTGTTGCCATCACTCCAGCCACGACTTTCCGAGCCTCCAAGGAAAGCCCAAGGGATGGACCATTTGTCATCCATGTGCCACTTATGATCCTGACAGCACCCACCACTGCCTCTTCCAGGCACGCACTAAATTGGAGGGTGGATGGGAGGGATGGTGCCTATTCCTTCTCCTTGCAGATGGCCAGGCCACAAAGCACCCAAGCAGAGCCACATCCTTCCTTCCAACCTCCTCTCCTTGGACCGGACCCAAACCACTCACCAGTGGAGACGTGTTGGACCTGCACGTCCTCCCACGGTGCATAACCTTCTCTTACAGTCCACAACACTCTCTCCTAGTGCCCCCACCCTGGCAACACCTCGAAATGTGCTCATTTCCCATGCATGAAGTGCAATCTGAGCAGTTTTAGCATTTTAGGTTAGATTTTGGTTCCGTGGGACTGGTCGGGTTTAGACGAGGAAATGTTCAAAAGCCTCCCCGAGCTTTGGCGCGTCTGAGCAGCATCACTTTGAGCAGAACACAGCACTGCAATATTCATGCCACCAGAAACCAGTTCCATATTAAAAAAGGGCTGAATTTTTAAAAATGTGACAGTAAAACCAGCCGTTTCATAACCAACACCCCTGCAGGATGCAACCCAGCTGGATGGATGTCACAAAGGAGCACAAAGGCATTTCTGGGGCTGCACCAGCCCCCTGTGAAACCTGCCCCAGCCACACTCACCAGCAACTACTGGGGCCAGTAGCCAGCAGGACTGGGATGAGGACTGGTCTGGCTGTGCTGATCATAGTCTGGAGTAACCAAAATCACAGAGGAGTGGAAGGCCATAGGATCATGGAATGCTCGTTTCCATCAACAGCTTTACACCCTTCCCACAATGGAGCTGGTGGTTTCCTTTGTAGGACAAATGATTTTGTTGCACCAGGAGGGCCCCTGTTTCATCTTGCTCTGGATAAATACGCCCAGTTTTGTGGCTGGGTAAAGTAACTAAACTCATTATTCAATCAAACTTGCCTGGATTTTTATTTTCCTTTTCCCCAGTGATCCCAGGGGACACCAGGAGGGGTCCAGGCAGGAGAAGGCTCTGAGAGGGCAGCAAACTGTGGCCAGAGGGCTCCAGACCCCAGACAGGATAAAGTTCCTGGATTCAGTGGCAATGCCAGGAAAACAGAACAGGGAGAGCATGAGCCAGGTAAGGATTTATCAGCCATCCCAGAATAATGCATGTATTTTCCAGTAGACAAGTCCCCTCCTTTCCCCAGCAGAGTCCAGCCCATGGGAGTGCTAGAACAGATATAAAACCCAGGCTTCTGGCTGCTTGCTGGAGATAGCACATCCCAGAGTAGCCAAATGCAGGGGAAGGAAGGATTCTGCCCTTGGATCCGTCCTTTGCAGCCATGAAAACAAGTTAATGTTGGTGCAATTAGAGAGTGACCATTATTTGCCATTGAGCTTCATAAAAACGTGAGGAAAGATGTATGCATTTTAATTAAGTTCTGGGAGAAAAAAATGTATACCTGGCTAGACTGCAGAGAGATGAACTCATTACTTCATCCATGTCTCAGGCTGCTGCCTATTTTCCCCTGCAACAGAACGATCAGCCTGGGCTGCAGATAGGGACTTTAAAAAGCAAATAATCCTCCTGAAAGAGCCAGGCCAGCACTCTGCAATTCCTGAATCCCTGAACTGGGAGTCTTCATACAGCCACATTTCTAGTGAGACCCCTGGGCAAGCACTCAGAAAGCCAAAGGGGGGATCTCCCCAAATCGGGGTGGCAGGAGGGGGTCACTGATGGAGCTCACTATGGATTTTTCCAGCAGCCAGACGGCTCCTGCAGCTGCCAGACTTTTCCATGGACTGGATTTGCCCAGGTCTGATTTTCTGCTACAGGACCAGCCCAGGCCTGAGCTGCCCTTTTCATCTCAGGAATGCACAGCTGCAAAAGTGAGGTCGAGGTTCCTCTTGCAGGACGTGGCTCCAGGAGTGGGGATTTTGTGCCCAAGCCGTTGGGGCCACGCTGGGATCACATTTGTGCTCGGGCTGCACACGATGGGAGGGATGGGCAGGTGGGGGGTGCAGACACCCAGCTGTCCCTGATTTAAAAAAAAAACCAGCAAAACCCATCCAGTGCTCGAACAGCGAAGTAAAACAAGTCAAACAACCTAAACCCTCATCCAGAAAGTTTTTAGGGCATAAAGAAAGAAAGAGCAATCAACATCAGCCTCCTCTCCCCCGAGAGCCAGCTGAGCAACCTTCCATGCTGGAAAACACTCAGGCAGAACTCCTGTGAAAGGCACTGCTCCTCTAACAGTCACATTTGGTGTCTCTGGGCTTTATAAAGACTCAAAAATCTGTTTGCTGCTATTGCTCCTTGTATGATGAGACCAGAGCAGGCAGATCTCACGCTTTGAGGTGCCAGTCAATAGTCTCAAGTGTTGGGTGGAAATCCCATGTTCCCCTTGCTGGCATCACACAGCCAGACCCACCAAGACCCCTCCCTGTGGAAGTCAGTGAAACACATCTATATCCTTGGAGTTAAGCATTTATTTAAGTGTTCTGCCAGAGTTTTGTGGAGCGAGGCAAAAAGGTGGCCAACGGTGCCACAGCCTGGGGCAAAACCCCTCCACTTCACAAAGAGCTGACAAAACTGGGCAGCATCTGGTCTCTACCAGTGACATGGCCTTTGCAGGAAGGGAGTTGAAACAGTTCCTAGAAGCTGCAAGACCCGGGACCACAGCTCTGAGAGCTGCTGGCACGTCAAAGCCGCGGAGCTTCAGGCTTGCCTCGCACGGACAAGGCTCCCTTGCCTTCCCCATCCCGCTGGGAAGAGCTTGGCTCCAGCCCCAGAGGGCTGACCACAAACCCCATCTGCATGAATGTGTTTGTTAAGACACTCATTCACGCTGTAGCCACGGCGCTGGCTGGAAGGACATACATCAGGCTTTTTGTCAAACAAAACCCATTCCAGCTGTCTGGGAGGACGAGGAAATCTGCCCTTGCGCTGCTTTGAAGGGTTTACAGTTCACTGCAGCACTTTATAGCTGCAGTTGTTTCCATAACCAAGTCCAAGAGAGCCTGTGAACAGGAAGGAATTAGGCACTCATGCAAAGACCATTAAAGTCAGGGGGAATCTTTCCATTGACTTGAGAGGGTTTGGCTCCCAGCCCTGGATATCAGGGTCTGCTGTGAGGGATTTAGAGCAGGAAATGGGAGCAGGACTTTGCAGGTTTTCTCAGCATTTGTTGTGGAGTTTAGCACAGGAGCTCCCTGGGCCCGTTTCCCTGCATGTAAACTAAGGAGTGAGTGCTCATCCGAGGTGCAAGGCCCTCAATGACACTTCCCAAGGAGTGCCTTCCCAGGAACCCAAAACTGCCAGCACATGAACCACAACACACTCGGGGAAACTTCAGGCTCTTTTAAAATACACCTGAGACTCTGATTGCCTGCTAAGAGGAGCAGTGGTGCTTCTCTGGGCTTGCAGGAAGAGAACTGGTCAGGTGAGTTCAGGGCAGGGCTGTGCCAAGTGTCTGCAAGTCAGGGTGGAAGGCACTGGCACCTGGGAGATGCTGGGTCATTTTCTGCCTCAACCACCTCATTATTCCTGGAGGAATAATGAAGGACATTTCTCCACTCCAGGTGCCATGGGAAAGGTCACACCACAACCCCAGAGGGAGTGAAATGAGGAGGTTTTGAGCCTGGCCAGCACTGCATTCCCATCATCCCAGGCTGTGGGTTCACAGGAGGCAGCATCCAGTGGTTAGAGTTGTCCTTCCTGCTCCTCATGGGCAGCATGTGCCTGGGAGAGCAGCAAGGCTGCAAAGAATGAGTTATTCAAACCACAGGCTTAGGAAAACCTCTGTCTCCTGGCAGATGTTCATTGCTTGGGCTGGGTTTGGAAAAATAGAGGTGACCAAGCCCTGCTTCAGCCTTCAGTGGGAAACAGAGAGACAAGAGTAGCTCAGCTGTGAGAAACTTGATCCCAGAAAGAGGAGAAAGGAGGGTGGAGAAGGAAATGCATCCTAAACCAAAACCAACTCGGTGACCCGAACGAGCTCTAATGGAGCCAGAGGGAACAGAAACACCGAAAAACCAGATGGATTGTGGTGGCTGCAGCCTCACACAGCCAGCAGGACAGGCTTCCCATGTCCAACAGGACAGGCTTCCCATGCCCAACAGGCCAGGCTTCGGGCAGTGAGTGTCACCTTTCCAAGATGACAAGAGTGATGTGCCAACCCAAATATCATCTCTGTGGAGTGCTGGTGTCCAGGTTTCCCGTGCAGGAACATCCATCCCCACACCTGGAATCCCCCATCAGCCCGGAGGCAGACGCGGCCGCCTCACCACGGGAAGTCAGGTGGGGCTTTTTTGCTTCCAGGGGGATGTGGTTTTAGGAAATGAGCTTTGCTACCACCTGCTGCAAGTTCACTGGTTTAGAGGGACAGGCTGCCAAATTCGGCAGGAACTGGGGTCTCATTAACATGACTGAGGCTTTGGCAGTGGGAAGCTCCTCCGCTTCCATTTACAGGACGCGCCGAGGCCGTGGCAGGAGTTCAAGGCACCGCTGCATTAGGGAGTCTAGACAGAGCCCTGCAAGCCTGGAGAATCCCTCTTCCCTGCCCTCCTGTGCTATTCAACACCCAGCAGCATTCCTCAGGCAGGAGGGATGCAGGGAAGTATTTCATTCCCTCCTTCAAACAGACTCTTCTGCATCACTGTGCCCCTCCAAAAACCTCCTCCTCCAAAGCTCTGCCTGGAGAACAGGAGGTTGCCAGCCTTGCTGCACATTCCAGCATGAACCCTTGTTTGACCAAACCCTGCCAGGCTGCTCAGAGGAAGAGAACAAAAATTTTAAAAACTGCCTAAACCTCATGTTTTTATTCCTACCTGGAATGAAAACAGCAGCTTTGGAGCAATTCTTGAAATATCTGCTTTTAGCTGGATTTATTCCTCCTTTTTCTTCACTCTGAGCTGAGCAGGGAAACCCACCTGCTGAGACTCCTCTGCCCCCAGAGACCTGCAGGCAGTGCCCAAGCAGCTGTGCTCACTGATACCTGCCACCACCCTCAGAGGGAGCAGGAGACCTCCTGAACCTAAACCAAACATTAAAACAGAATTAATTTTAATTCATCGGAAGACTTCTGTTGTGCTAAATGGATTTTCATGGGCTGAGGAGAAACTTGAGCTGGGAGAGCGTTCCAGAATCTCCTGCAAGACAACCTGGGGGAAGGCTGGGGGAAACTGGGCAGCATTTTCCTACCCATTGTCAGAAACTGGGATGAAATCTGGGCAACGTCTCCCCACCTCCAACTGCTCACCCTGCAGCAGGTCTGGTGGCAAGGACTCAGTCATTCAGCAGCAATTCAAAGCAAGAAAAATAGGATCCAATGATGCTTTAGAATTTCCAGGCTGCCTCTTGCCTGCACAGAGAGCACATCCACGCTCTCCTAAGTGGATTGACAAGAGCTCTGAATCAGTATTAACACATGCCAGATGCTGGGGAATCATCTCCCACTCACAGCAATTACGAGGATGTCCCAGAATCCAATAAAGCAACTGAGAAGATGAGCATCTGGTGGTGGTTGTGGGGCTCCGCCACAGCGAGATAAATCTGTGTAATAAAGAGGTGTGATTTTCCTTCCCTTGAGTCAGATGGCATTTGGCACTGGAGGTGTGTGATTCCTCCTCCCTGTGGTGGCTCTCCTCGGGAGGAGATGAGCAGAGCATCCCTCCTCCAGCAGGGATGAGGAGCTGCTCCCCTCATCCTGCTTTTTCTCTGCTGATACCAGGGATCACATGCTGACCCCCCAAACCCCATCAGCATCCCCCAGCCAAAATTCTTCAGAGGGAACCATGAAAATCAACTCTTCACACCATCAAAGAGCATCTCCAGCCTGAGAAACCACCAGGTGAGACCTTCTCCCTCTCCCTGATCTTGTTCACTCCATGCTCCAGCCATGGCAAAACTCCTCAGCTCCAGATAAGAGAATCATGGAATCATGGAATGGCCTGGGTTGGGAGGGACCTTAAAGCCCACCCAGTCCCACCCCCTGCCATGGGCAGGGACACCTTCCACTAGCCCAGGTTGCTCCAAGGCCCGTCCAACCTGGCCTTGGACACTTCCAGGGATGGAGCAGCCACAGCTTCTCTGGGCAACCTGTGCCAGGGCCTCCCCACCCTCACAGGGAGGAATTTCTTCTTCATATCCCATCTAACCCTGCTCTCTTTCAATTTGAACCCATCCCTACCACTACAGCTCCTGATACAGAGTCCTCATAGCTCTCCACACAACCTTCTCTTCTCCAAAGAATCCGCAACATATTCAGATTTAGAAGCCACACAAAGTGGTGAATCAGTGAAGGCTTCTCCCTACATAAACCAGCCAAAAAATATTCCCAGTGCAGAGGGAACACTGTGGATGACACAACAGTGATCCCATCTAGCACAAACACGGGCGACCATGCTGCTGAACAGCGCCTTGAAAATGAGGATTCCTGGAAGAAAGAGCCAGCACATTTTATTCGTGGGAAAGGCAGCAGAGCTGAGCTCCATTTAATGGAGGGAAGAAGATAAAAGTAATCCCCAAGCATCTGAAAATGCAGGCTCTGTGTTGGGATAGACTTCAGCACATCCTCATGCAGTAAATGCCAGGGATGTTTCTCTCGGCGTGGGCAGCAGTTCTAGGACTGTTTGGTTTTAAGATCAGAAGCAGCCATTAAAGCATCTCCTGTGAGCTTCTCTTCACCACAAGCCAAAATGTTTCATCCAATAACTGAAGAGGGCTGAAGGTTTGATAACTTAGAGCCGTTTGCAACGAGTGACACAGCACAGGCCAGGGCCAGCTGAGCTCCAGCCGCTCCTGCCTCCAGGGCCCTTCTCCCTCCTTAATTCATTCCCTGCCCTCACAGACAATTTTTACTCCCATTTTCCTTCCCAGAGCTTTCTCAGACAACATGGAGAAAATGAGCTGAGGGAGAACAGCACGAAGCAAAGTCTGAGCAAACGTGGGGGACCCTCAGTGCCAGCAAACATCACCCACCTGGGACCACGTGCTCACCTCTGGAGCATCCTCCAGGCTCCCAAACCTCCCACCCTGCTGAAATCCTCCTACCAGGAAGACTTCCAAAAGACCTCCAGACTCAGTGGTCCTTGAAGAATATGCTCCTTCTTTTCATTTCATTTTCCTTCGGGCTTTTCCTAAAGAAGAGCTTTTTAATCCACATAATTTCCTACAAACATCTGAAAAACAAACACGACCGGAATCTGTTGTAGCAGCAGCATCCATTTAAAAAGCATTGAGCGGCCCCAAAGTCACCCAATATACTTACAGTGTCACAATGTTAACACTGAAATAATTTTACAAGTCGATTTTTATGTAAATTGGTGCTCACTGTTTACTTCTGCTAAGATTAAAATGCTTGGCATCAGCTCCGGGTTTTCAGGACTGTGGATTCAATTTGCAGGGGGCACCTGGGAGAGAGGGGGGATGGTTTTTTTTTCCTGGGGAATAATAGTGCTTGTTTGAAACATCTTAAAGGCTGTGAAACCATCATTCTGGATCCTGGCTTGTGAGAAAGCCGAAGTTTTTAAAACAAAATTACATTTGGAGTCAAACTCACCTTTTATTCCTTTTTAAAAGATGCTGCTTTTCTTCTTAAACCTTTAACTTTGACCCTTTTGTGTTTGAGATCTTCCTGTTTCTGTGTCCCCAGTACCTGGGCTGAGTTCCCCTTCTATCACTTGGGATCTTAGCACAGAATTACAACTATATCAACTCCATCAAACATACTTTTAATGTCCCCACTAGGGGACTTTAAAAATGAGCTTTAAAGTACGAATTTAATGACTTAGGATAAAATTTAGTTCATATGCAGTATTTGACTCTAAAAGCTCATGTAAATATTTAATCAATTCATGCACCAAGTCCCCTTGCAGGGAACACAGTTAAGATATTTTGGCTCCCATTTTTTTGGGAGGTAGATCTGTGATAGAGCTTTCCTAAGGGTTAGTCAAAGTGCTGCCAGCAACACCAACTGCAAGGCTGTGCAGAGAAAGGTGCTGGTTTGGGGGGCCAAAAAGGTCCCAGTCACAGAAGCCCAGGGCCAAGTCACACAGGAACCCTCAGTTTAACTAAACCCAACCATTTCACCTGGTTTAGGGACTCTACACCATTTAATAAACTACTTTTTCATAGAATCACAGAAATATTTAGGTTGGAAAAGACCTCCAAGACCATCAAATCCAGCTTTTGACCAATCCCCACCCTGTCCTCCAGTCCAGAGCACTGAGTGCCACGTCCAGTCATTCCCTGAACACCTCCAGGGGTGGGGACTCCACCACCTCCCTGGGCAGCCCATTCCAGTGCTTAACCATCCTTTCAGTGAAGAAATTCCTCCTGATGTCCAACCTGAACCTCCCCTGATGCAGCTTGAGGTCATTTCCTCTTACCCTGTCGTTCTAATGTGCCTTTCTGCACTGTAACTCTTCTGTCTTTAATAACAAAAAATACCCTGCTGATGTGAGCAAAAATGAATGAATTCCCAGCCTCCTACTCCAGCCATCTTCAGCCCTTCCTCCTCACCATCACCCAAATTCCAACAGGCTCCTAAACAACAACATGGATGTGGCCAAACCCAGAGTTATTTTTGCATTGCTAATGCCTGTGCCAGCACCCAGAATAACATCCAGAATATAACAGGAGAAGGCAGAGGCCAGACAAAAGAAAGAATCAGTTGTCACCTTATTTTCAAGGACATTTTGCACTTATGCTTCCCTTACTTAACTGTGCCTCCAGTAAAGCTAAACATTGCCACACCAGCAAAAAAACCCAGCCCTGAGGAGATCTGGATACTTGAGGATCTCATAAAATGACAGCAAGCTCAGCTATAATTATTGCCCTGTAATCTGCATGTCATGAATAAGTTGGTAATTCAGCAATAGCTGCAATCACTGCACACAGTTATTTGCTCCTTGCATTGAACTAAAGTGGAGGGGAAGATGGACAACAATTGAGTCCTGTGTAAATATTCATTTTTCAACCCTTTTTGGTCAACAGACCCTTAACATTTTTATTGTGGAGGCCCCACACAACAAAAGGAGGGAAGGAGTGCAGGGTCTTGCCTCCCTGAGCTGTTGTCTGCACACCCCAAAACCACCCATCAGCCTCAGTGTGAGCTGAGGGCTGGGAAGAAAGGTGGATAATTTGGAAAAGGGAAAAAAAAATAATCTTTAACCACAACTAAAATTGAGGCTTTTCTCTTGCTGTTCTTTGAGCCATTTGGTTCAAAGATGTTTTTAACAGCCTTCAGAGTGTGGGAGTCAGAGCCAGCAGGGCACCCACACCATGGCCAAGGGGAAAACTTGCTGTTCTGATCTCATTTTGAGTACATGGACTAAATGTTCATGTTTTGTGCACGGAAAAATACTGAAAAAGTTGATTTTGAAACCACAAGTAGCCCCATCTGCCCACACAGTGAATGGATGGAGTTCCACCAGTGCCAGGGTGCAGAAGGAAAACAAACACCTCTTGTACCTCCCAGATCTGATGGAGGAGGTCGTTGCTTTGAGCTATCCAACATATTTTTGCACATCAGGTTTGCTCCATGACTTATTTTTGACAAAACAAGTCAGGTTATCTCTGCAGCCAAACTCAGCTCTAGAAATGCTTGAGCCATTGGGACCTTCACAGAAGTGAGTTTGCTGTAGGGTGACAGACAGACCCAGGGGAACATCTGGAGCAGCAGAAAGCAAAGGGACAATTTCAGCAGCTTGCAGGAACAGCTGGGGCTTCTCTCACTGCCAATTAAACAGTTTCCATGGCAGTTTCTTATACAGATTAACCATCCCCACACATCAACGTGGCTCTGCAGTTCCACCAGCCAGGACACAAGGAATGAGAGCTCCACAGCCTTTTGCTTCCCACTGCCACAGAAAACCAACTGCCAAGGGCAGGAAGAACCTTATATATAAAATAATCACCTCTGTGGTTATTGCACACAGCAGATGAACAAATCTGGTTCATTAGCATTTGCCTCTGGATGAGCAACAAAGGCAAAGGAACAAAACACCCCAAGGACAAGCACAAACCCCCCCAAAAGAGCCCTTGTGTTACACTCAGTAGCTCACTGGAGAAATGTGATACCATAGAAATGCTTTGGCTCCAGCTGAATCCATGTGTGAACACGAATTAAGTGGAATAATTCACTGTGCACTGACTTTCACCACAGGCTCTAAGATTCAAATCCATGTTCTTTCCAAATTGCTGTAATTTCCAGCCCATCTCCTGTGATGAGGTACATACAGCCAGCCTGAAATCCCCCCCTGGCACTTTAATAAAGAGTTTAACCTGAGATATAAATTACTAAGAATTTAAATGTGTGCTCAGGAAGATCTATTTCTGCTGCAGGAACTTGGGCTAAAATTGGCATCAGCTCCCTCCAAGGTTTTCTCCACGGAGCACACTGGGCTTGGATGGAGAAGTCCACCTGTGTCCTTTCCCATGGACTGCAGGGGCTTGAAAATATGGAGAGAAACAAGGTCAAAGATGTTTGCCACTCTTGGAGGTCCCAACACCCATCCTGGCCCTTTCCTGTGCACTCCAGTCCACTCCAGTCTGTTGTTCAAGATTTTTTGTCTCAGGGGCTGTGAGGGTGGGGAGGCCCTGGCACAGGTTGCCCAGAGAAGCTGTGGCTGCCCCATCCCTGGAAGTGTCCAAGGCCAGGTTGGACAGGGCTTGGAGCAGCCTGGGCTGGTGGAAGGTGTCCCTGCCTTTGGCAAAGGGTGGGACTGGACAAGCTTCAAGGTCCCTTCCAACCCAAACCATTCCATGACTCTATTAGGAAAACCTGCTAATTTGTTGATGTGACTGAAAAATCAGAGCAGTTCAAGCAATTCAGGTCCTTCTGTACTCACCTGATTCTCCAGACCAACCTTTTCCCTTCAGGCAGCGACTCCCTTTCTGCTCTGCACAGCATTCCCTGCCCTGGGGCTCATCCTTGGTGACAAGGGGTTAATAAGGAAGTCAAGGAAGGACAGAGTGGGAAAACAGCTGAATTTTCTGCTGATAAGAGACTCCTCCTCCTGAACCTCATTATAACTACCCTGATTATTTTCTTGCTCCAAAAAATATCTTGCTGCTGGTTCTCCAGCAGGACAGTGAGTTTTCTGGTGTGAAAGGGGTGAATCGACTGCAAGTGACCCCTAAAGCAGTCCTGGAGGGCAGATTAAGTCAAAGACCATTGCTCTGGTGCAGGAACCCATGTTTAAAATGCTGGAGGCATTTTACACAGAGACAATTGATCTACATGAGGTCCCAGTGCCATAATTTCATCTTAATTTGATATGCACACACGATTGTGCTGCAGACAGATAAAGACCCCTGGGAGAACACACCCGGGCTCGGCAGCTCTCCTTTAGTGCAAGGCCTTAACTGATCCTCCTGATTTTGTATCCTACTGGTGAAAAAAAGCCCTCAACACTGGGGTTGACTTCCAGCAAAGTGAGAAAACAGGAAGCAAAGCTGACAAGCAGCTAAGGCCCAAATATTTCAATATTTGATGGTAAAAAAGCCAGAGGAGGAGGCAGGTGATCGATCCGGGTGTCGATTGCCCAGATCCAGCAGGCACATCCATCCTGGAAACACTAGGAATGGAGCAGTTGCCCTCTCAGGGTCCTTCCTAGCTCTTTCCATTTGTTCTGATTTTTGTTTTATTCATTTCTAATTTATGCTGCATTTATTGCAGAATAAGCTGTTTAACAAATCCCCGCCGCGCAGCTCCCTGTGCGAGCTCCCTGTTCCAAAATCGTTGCTTTTATTACCAAATACTGTGCCCACAGAGAGCTCCCCCAGCAGGGCTAATGCCAGCAGCCCTTTCCCAGAGCCAGCACAGAGCCAAGGTTAAGATGACCCCGAGATTAATATGTCAGGAAGGGGAAAAACAAATAGAAACACACACCAAAAGAACCCCTCCGGAAAAGCTGGGCAGGGATGTGGTGCCACAAAAGCTGTCTGGGAAGGGGAAGGATCTTCCCCACTGGCTGATATTGTGGTTATAACCACACCTACAGCATCTTTACTAGTGGGAAGTGACATCTTGCTGCTCTGAAGTTTGCTTTTGACCATCCCAATTTACTGGTGCTTTTTAATGAACAATTTCAATTGTGGATTGAGCATGGAAGGGCTTCTCCCCCTCCTCTTAGTATAATAAACACTGAAAATCAGTTTGTGATTGAGAAGTTCACTCCCTTTCCTTTTCTTCCCTTCATAGCTTTGAAACATGAGGGCATTTCCAAAAAATCAATGCATATATAGTGGCGCTGGAATAAAACACCAGTGATACTTGTATTATTCGTATTATTAGTATTAGTATTAGTATTAATATTAGTATTATTGGCCCTTCCAAAGCCACTCAAGGTCCTTCTCAAATCCATGATCTTACCCATAACAACATGCCCCCACGATATCCAAGCATCCATCCTTTCCTGCTTTAACAGTTCTACTTTATCTTCCTGCTAAAAAAACAGCCATAATTTCCCAGCCTGTCTGCCTGTGGTTTTCCCTGGGACAAGATGCACCATCATAGAGCAAACAGCAACCAGGATTGTATATTTTCCCCTAAATAATTGAAATCAGTGTTCTTGCAGACACAGAGGAGTCAGCCAGCCTCCTCCATGGAGGGATCCAATGTGCAACAACAATTAACTCATGAGATACTTATTAGCTACTGATAAATTAATGCTGCCTTTTTTTTTTTTTCTCAGAGTATTTACTCTTGGGGATAAAGGTGTCCCATCTTCCATCACAGCTTCCAAATGGGAGATTGGCTGTTCTCTTTTGTGGTCTGGGTGAACTGGTGCTGGGCTGAGAGCTGGAAGTTTGGGATCCACCTGTGATTTTCCCATCGATGGAAGGAAGCACAGAGCCCTTCATTTTCTCTGCTTTGTAAACTATCCTTGTCCCATCCACTGTCACGCTTTCAAATTATTATACAGAGAGTCCCACACCAGCCTTCAGTGATTTTACTGGGAAACTGGTGGGCAGAGGAGCTATTGCAAGTCTTGGAAAATGTTGCAGCAGCTTTGGAGGGAGGTTCAAACCCTCTGCCTTGGGTTTGGGTGCCTGGCCCAGCCAATGGCAAAGGGAACATCTGTGCCTCTTCCCAGCCCTCCTGCTCGGTTTCCACTGCACTGTCTGCTAAGAATAGACCAAAAAAATAATAAAATTTCCTCTCTCTGAAAGCCACTAAAATAAAATAAAAACCCTTCCGCAAACAATCTGCATTTTATCTTCTTAATGCCTCTAAAGCCTCCACTTGTCTCCAAAAATAATTGCCATCAGCAAGGGTCAAAGAATATTCTTTCCAAATCATGGACCAGATGTTCCACTGAGACCACTACACAGTTAACTCCCAATAAAAGTAATTCAACAAACTAAACACTGATTAAATAATGTGCACACACAGCCCGGCACGAGAAATGTGATTTGCTGTTATTTAACCTTTAACGACACCGACTGTTCCCTTCCTCCTTGCCAAGGGCGAGTCTGGCCATTGGACAGGGTTGTTTTGGTTTTTTCCTATCTTGGAAATCAGGTCTTATAAACTCAACACAAGCTGAGCCACTGCCCGGCCGGCCAAAACCCCCCAGTGTTGCTCAAGAGGTCAGTGCTGTTTTCCAGCCCATCCCAGCACGTCCAAGACAAACAGCCCCGTGTCACCCGCTCTGCAGGGACGTGCAGGCAGCCCTGCCCTTGTGCTGGCTCTGTGCAGGTCACCACCACCTTCCTCCACGAGCTCTGCTTGCTGCAGAACTTTTTTAGGCCCCCAGGGTTGGTGTCCATCCGTTGGATTTCAGGTGGGAGCGTGGGGAGCGCAGCGGAGCCTCCTCATCCCCCACGCACCGTGTGAGGGCTCACGGCTTGCTCATCCTCTCGGGACAACTTGGTGTTGGGATTGATCATGGGAAGCTGCCACAGCCCCTCAAGGCTTTGTTCTAAACAACACACCAGCTCCAGAGATGCTTAGAGGGAGAGAGGGAGGGGGGAAGCAGAGCTGTGCTGGAGGAGGCGGCCCCGGCACACGACGGCCACTCGCTTGGACCGTGGAGGTGGATTCCTCCGGTTTGTGCTGAGCAGTGCAAAAGCTCATTGCCAACTGGGATAGCAACCACCCAGCCTCCCGAGCCTGGAGCAGCTGGGAGCTTGCTGAGGCCAAGAGATGAGCCTGGAACAGCAGCCGAGCCTGGAACAGCAGCCAGGAGAGGTAGACGGGAGGGAAATGAAACCACGAGTTGATGGGAGCTGCTGCCAGGGCTGGCAGGTTGGAGGGGAAGTGTTAGGGGTGTCATGCCTGGGGCACCTCTTACCTTCTGCCTTCCTAGTCCTGCGGCAAAGGAGGCTCCAGACTCATTCCCACTTTGCATGTCTCTAAATGTTCCCTTTTATACCCTGTAATTGCATTTTTGTACCAAAAAATCCCCTGGAGTGAACAGAGGCTTCCTCTCTCAAAAGACTCCAATGCAAGTGGAGAGGCACTAATTGCCCTATCAGGGTCTCCAGGGCTTTCCTCTGTATTGTTAGCTATCAAAAATGTGTTCTTAATTTCAGCACTTAGCCCAAATATTTCATTTTTAATTACAAGCCGAGGCAGAGCGTGAGACGGCCCAGAGCAGCAGCGAAGGTTTCTCCCACCAAGCCAGCCCAGCACAGGCTGGGGAGGGATCTCACACAACCCTGGTGGTGGGAAATCCTCAGTCCTGGGGGGTTCAGGCAGAGGGGACCCCACCAAACACCTTGTGAGAGGCACCACCTTCCCTGGGAAATAAACCCCAGCCCTGGCACAAGGGTGGGAGATGCACTTTGGGGACCACAATGACCATGACCAACAAAACAACCACCACCACCACAACCATCACCACCATCACACAGGAAAAAGATGGACCTGGTTCTCTGAGTCCTGACTGGACCAGCCAGACCAGGAGCAGGACTGGAACTGAGGGATGTGCTTCTGGCACATCCATGCCATGATGTGCTCAGACACATCTTGATTGTGGAGCAGCAAACGCAGAACTTGGCTCCTCCAACTCGTGTTTTTATTTTGTCTGTAATGTTGTGTAGCTGCCTTGGTGTTTAACACTTGTAATTAATGTCAGTGAGAAAGGGATAGTTCTCATCTCCTCCCTTTTCCAAACATTGCAATCTGCAGGGTGGGACCAGGGCAGCCCTGCAGCATTTCAAGTAAAAAAGACAAAAAGCAGCAGACAGAGGAATTTACCTTTTGGCAAGTAAGAGGCATCTCTAAGGAAGATGATTTTTAAATCCACCCTGTGTGAAAGAATTCAAATGACATACTTACAACTCCAAATATTGTAAGTTGCGTGTCTGGAAAAACAAGAGGAATATCCTTTGTTAAAACACGACTCTGAAAAGGATTCCTGGTTCCTATCTGAAACACAAAGGGAGTCTTTTTTAACACGAGATGTCATCATACATTTATTTAAAGCTTTAATGATATGTTTTGGGACATCATCTACGCCTGAACATTCCTCCACTGCAGTTGTGTGGAAGAGGGAGGGTTTTTTCCCCCCATCTTTAAATAGTAAATGAGGCCAATTATCTCATGGTAGTTCCAAACGCTAATTTGGTTCCGCTGTAGCTGTCAGTGGCCTATCAAAGCAGCATTTCCAGGTTAATTTTAGGAACACATCCACCCTTTCCAAGCTGCAGAGCCCTAGAGTGGGGAGTGATGCTCAGCTGCAGCCCAGGGACTGCCAGGGCTACACACAGACCAGGTACAGCCTGGCAGCAGAGCCACCAACCAAGAAACCAGGACACAGAGAGATGTTGAGGGATGGAGACAAACTCCAGAGGGATCCCCCCTGCTCCCAAGGGACTCCGAGCCATGGATGGGCAGGGAAGCATCGCTGGGCAGGCACGGCCCAGGTAGCACTGCCATTGCTGAGTTGTTCTAAATAATAACAGTGATTTTGCATCCCAGCACGTGGGGAGCTGGCAGTCACTGAAGGCTTTGGGAAGGACCTCAGCGCTTGGATTTATTACAGATTAATGGGATTGATTTATTACTTTTTGTTTCTTTTTTAAGTGGGCTCATTAAAAGCGAAACGATCTTCCTGCGGAGCGTGCAAACAGCAGAGCCACGGGCCCGGGCACTGCTGGTTCCTGGTGCCTTTGTTCAGAATCAGCCTTGCAAACCAGGCAAGATTTATTAATGGTTCCTGGGAGAGATTAGCAACGGGGAAACAGCTCAGGGAGGATTAGGAGCCAAGCAAGTATTAGCCAGTTTTTTTGATGGAGTGTTTGTCGAAAGTTGCTCTTTTGAGTTTGGAGTGAGGCAGTGAGTGCCCTTCAGCGGGCTGGCAGCCACGGAGCAGGCTCTGCTCCCGGTGATTCATCCGGGTTTGCTGAATTCCAAGGTTTGTTAACTTCAGCTGGTTAATCTTTTTTAATTTTTTTTATTTTTTTTTAAATAAGAATCCTATTGTTAGTCCCTGTTAGGCTGTTGCTTTGTATCGGGCTTATGATGACACTGGTTTGGGGAAGCTGCCAGGTCACCTGGAGGGACTGAGGACCTCGGTGTTCCCGGACAGAGTGTGCAGCTGCAGCACAACACACTTTGCTCTCTCCTAAGCAACCCAACCAGAGAGCCAGAGATCATTTCCCCCCTTATTTACATCCAATTTTATATCCTGAAAGTTTCTTCTCTCCTTCTCTCCCTCCCTCTTCCACACAACTGCAGTGGAGGAATGTTCAGGCGTAGATGATGTCCCAAAACATATCATTAAAGCTTTAAATAAGCTCTCCACAGGATCAGCTCTGTGGCTTCCCACCCTGCAGACCCCAACCCTGCACCCTCAGCACCTCTGAGCAGAGCCCCTGCCTGCCCAAGTGCCCCCCAAGCCTTTCCAATACAGGCAGGACCCTAAAATTTTCCCTCTTGATACCTCTTGTCTGGTTTGGAGCCTGAAGGAATCCGAGTGCAATCATTACACCAGTTTTGTCCCCAAAGGGCAGAGAAGGACAGGCACAGCCAGTGCCTCCAAAAGCCAAGCAGTGTGGGGAGCACCTCATTTGCTCCCACTGATCCTCACTGGCCACAGAAGCACCAGCTGCAGTTTGTGCTTATGATTTTTCTGACACTCTGTGGAAAACACATAAAGCTTGGTATTACAGAAAAAAAAGTTTAGAGCAAACCCCAAAAACCTGAAACCCGAATATCAAAAGATGAAGGAATTTTGAAATTGCATTTCTAACTGAGAACAGCCCCTGACTTCCAAAGATCAAGAGACCCAGGGGACAGATGTGCTCCACCTTCCTCCAGCCACAATTCAGCCCGGGATCGTCTTCTCTCCCCTCCTCAACCAAAGGGCCCTCTCAGGCTCCAGGACAGATGCTCAGCCAGCAGGTTCACCCTGTTTGCACAGTCCCAACCCCTTGATCCCAGGACACTTCCCCGAGCCTCCCCTGGCCGTGCTGCACGCAGAACCGAGCCCTGCTCCAGCCAGCTGAAAACATAATTGGCTTTTTCTGCAGTTTATTTTTTGTTCTGCCTTCAGCACGGTGCTGGAGCCAGGCTAGTCTGGTCACGCTCCCCTTGTTTACAGCCAGTTTCTCCTCCGTTCCCCTCCCTTGGCCTGGTGCTCTCCAACCTGTCCCTTGCTGGGCTCCCCACCCCGCTTGAAGCCGGGCTCTCCATCCCTCCAGGATGAGCCCGATGGGTCCCACCCCAAGCACATCCCCACGGCCCAGCCTCTCCCAGCGAACTGCAGGGAGGAGTTTCCTCAACTATATGGGGGTTTTTTTAGGAATTAAGAAAATACAAGCAATGTCTGAACCGTCCACCAGAGAGCACGGCAGGCAGGAGGGCTGCCAGCCCAGCTGTGGGGGCACAGACCCCCGTGGCTCAGCCCGCAGCCACACAGAGCTGTTCGAGCGCCCCCATCCCCGCACCCACGCGAGCCCTCCCCGCAGCAGCGACACCCGCCCCCCTCCCGCTCCTGCCAAAGGTCCGCCGGGAGGGCTTCCCACTTTCGGGAGAAGGGACGAAGCCCCCGAGGAGCCGAGGGCGAGGGCGACCCCTCCACCTGCCCGGGGGCTGCGCTGGGCGGCCGGGCGGTGCTCCGGGGGGCGGCGGCTCTGCTCGGTCCCCGCACCGCTCGGGAGCATCCCCCGCCAGCACCGCGACCCGCACCCCTCGCCGGGGGTGACTCCCACGCTCCGTCCCCCCACCCCCGATCCCCCGCCCCGGGCCCCGAGCCACCCAGCCCGGTCCCCGCCCCGAGGTGCCCGCACCCCCGGCTCCGCCGCTCGAGCTCCCCCGTGCGCCCTGCCCCGGAGCCGGCCGGCGGCGCGCCCGGCGCTGTCCCCGTCCCCGTCCCGTCCCCGGTCCCCGAGCCCTGTGCCCGTCCCTGCCCCGCAGCTCCCGCACCGGCCATGCCGGGGCCGCGCCGGGACCGCCCGGCCGTGCTGCTGCTGCTCGGGCTCTTGCTGGCCGCCGACCTCTACTTCCAAACCTCTGGCCGCGGGCGCGCGCGGAGCGCAGGGGCAAAGGGTTCCGTCCCCGTGGGGCGCCCCTGCCGCCGCCGTCCCCCCTCCGCCGGGACCCCCGACCCGCGCCCGCCGCCCCGCGCCCCGCGCCGCCCCGCGCTGCGCCGCCTCTTCGCCCACCCGCTGTACCGCACCGCCCCGCCGCCCCGCCGAGCCGCTGCTGGCGCCCGCGAAGCCCTGCGCTACTACCGGCGGAAGGCGGCTCGCTGGAACAGGTGCGTCCCGCCGCCGCGGCACCCCCGCTCCGGGCACCCTCTGCGCGGGCATCCCCTGCGCGGGCATCTCCTGGGCGCCCCTTGCGCGGGCACCCCCTTCCCGGGCATCTCCTGGGCACCCCTTTCCTGGGCACTCCCTTCCCGGGCACCTCCTGCGCGGGCATCTCCTGGTCACTCCCTTTGCAGGCATCCCTTGCATGGACACTCCCTTCCCGGGCATCTCCCGGGCACCCCTTTCCTGGGCACCCCCTTTCCAGGCACCTCCTGGTCACTCCCTTTGCAGGCGCTCCTTTTCTGAGCACCCCTTTCCCAGGCACTCCTTTCACAGACACCTCCTGCATGGGCATCTCCTGAGCACCCCTTTCATGGGCACCTCCTTCCTGGACATCTCCTGGGCACTGTTTTCTTGGGAACCTCCTGGGCACTCCCTTACCAGGCACCCCTTGCATGGGTATCCCCTTCCCGGGCGTCTCCTGGGCACCCCTTTCCCAGACACCTCCTTCCTGGGTATTTCCTGGGTACGCCCTTCCCAGGCACCCCCTGCATGGGCATCTCCTGAGTACCCCTTTCCTGGGTGCCCCTTTTCCAGACATCCCCTTCCCGGGAATCTTCTGAGCACCCCTTTCTTGGGCACACCCTATACCAGCACCACCTTCCCAGGCAATCCCTGCATGGGCATCTCCTGGGCACCCTCTTCTCAGGCCCCCTTTGCATGGGAATACACTTCCTTGGCATCTCCTGGGCACCCCTTTCTTGGGCACTCCCTGTGAGCGCATCTCCTGCACGGGCATTTTCTGGGAACCCCTTTCCCGGGCACCTTCCCTGCTCCTGCATCTCCTGAGCACCCCCTTCCTGGGCACTCCCTGTACAGGTGCCCCTGCACTGGCATGTCCTGGGTGCACTCTTGCCAGGCACTCCCTGTATGGGCACCTCCTGTACAGGTACCTCAGCTCTCCCAGCCCCCCCTCCCCTGCTTAAGCATTCCATGCCTGGGAATGGCAACAGAACCCCCTGGGTGTCCCCTGGCACCCCCAGTCGAGCTTGCACCCCATTTCTGGCTCTCTGCCCCACTGCCCTCCCATCACCCCCCTCCCCAACAACCAGCCCCCCATGGACAGGCAGAGCTGGGAGGCACCTTCCTGGGATGTGTCCTGCCCATCTCTGCTGACAGATTCCCAGGGAAGGGGATCCCCAGCTCAGTCCTCCTCCTGCTGCCTCTCCCAGCCCCAGCAATGGCTGCAGGAAAACTCCCCCATCTCCTACCCTTGGGGTGGGACTGTCACAAAGTGGGGGGACAGTGACAGTGACACCAACTCCAAACATCAACCACGTGAGCATGATCCAACAGCTGGACCCTGGACCCCTGATCTAACCCCCCTTGCAGGAGGGCTGGGACCAAGCTGGAAACATTCAGCATCCCCCAGGACCCCCCAGCTCCTCCCTGCACCCCAGCAGCTTTTCCATTCATGCACAAACTGGGATACAACAGAGCACGGAGCTCCCAGTGCTCACAGCATCACCTCACCTGCAAAGGGACAGCAGCATCTCCTGGGAACCACCTCAAGGATCCCTGTCCTGGAACTTCCCCACTGCCAAGTTTGGTTTCCAGCACCAGAGCGGCCCCTGCTCCTCCTGCCACCTCTTTGATGTCTGCTGAGCTGAGTGAACAGGATTCCCAAGCTCCCACTTTCTCCGCTTCGGTACCTGTCCCTGCTGTTTCTGTGGGACTCACCCAGTGCTGGTTCCATGTGAGATTCGCAGGAGGAGATGATGGGAAGTGTTAATGGAAGGAAACAAACAACCTCCATGGTTCAGGGTCTGGAACTACCCCGTGTGCTCAGTCAGGATCACCCCTATGAGGCTCTTCCCTGGCTCAAGTCAGTCTGGAGCACGTTGGATCCTTCCTCACATCACTTGAAGTCCACAGATGGTGGGTTTGGGCATCCCTGGCTGTGCCACAGACCTGCCTTGGGTGCACCTTCTCAGAGCTGAGCAGTGCCTCCTGAAGACATCAGGATTTGGGTACCGAGATGGACATTTCCCAAGATGGGCATTTCCCAAGAAAAATCCTGGTGGGAACAGGGGATTTAAACTGAAACAGCTCAGGCTTGGTGGCTGCACCATCAGAAGCCCTGAGCCCCTGGTGCTGAGCTCTTTCTGCAGCGCTGGCATTGTGTCCACACCTCACCTGCAGGACAGCCCTGGCTGTTCAGGTAGAAGTCTACATTCCCTGATTTTATTTACCACTTTGTCTAAACGTGGTGTTTGCAATGAAGCCGTGGCTGCACCTTCCCTCCCGCTCCGAGGTTTTGGTTGTGACGTGTCCGGGAGGAACGTCGTGGTACCGTTTGTCCTTGACTGACTTCACTTTGCTCCTCCAGGAAGGAAAGGGAGGCAGGGTATTGATTATTCCTCAGTCACCTTGAAATAAAATATGTGGTGCTCATAAGCGGGTAGAAGCTCCGGGGAGCACGGACAGGACGAGGTGACACAGAGCGACCTCTGCAACGACCTGCCAGCAACCACTGGTGCTGCAAATTGAACAGAGAATCAGGTAGCACTTGCCAGGGCTGGTGCTTTTCAGAAGACCATCAGTTTGCTGTGGGGATGGAGGAATTCCTCCCTCACCAGGAGCACTGCAGAGCCCGTGTCCTCTCCAACGCGGTCAGGGAAGGAGCCATCTCTGTAATTGCTGAGAGCCAAGGGCAGTGTCCCCGTGGGAGCCAGGAATCCATGGCTTTCCCTCCCAGTCCATGGGTTTAGCAAAGCTGCTGCTGCTGTTGAGGACTGAGGAGTGAAGTCCACAGCAGCTCCACACCCAGGCAGGAGAAGGTGAGAGCTGAGTGTCCATGTGGATCCTCTCCTGCAGCGTGAAGAGGTGACGGGGTGACAACACGTTTCTCCGCCACCCGTAGGTCTGGCTGTTGGCAGAGCAGCTTTTGGAGCAGCAGGATGCTCCTCTTGAGTGGAACAAGCTGCAGCTTAACCTCCAGCACAGCGTGTCTGTCTTCATTTCTGCAGCCAGATGGACATCATCTGGCCGGGGACTCTGCCAGCTCCTGGAGTGGCCCCAGGACATGTCCCGTTCGGATACCCCTGGCCAAGGGGAGCACGGCAGTGCTTGTCCCCCTCCACGGAGCTCTCTGGCTGCTGCCCATCACTGTGCTGTTCCCCAGCACTTCAATCAGGACCAGGAGTTTGATTGCAGGATGCAGAACCAGCTGCAGAGACTGATGGGGATGCAGGAAGGAAATGGCAAAAAAACCCCATCCACACCTCTTCAAAACCAAAAAAAAACAAAACCCAGAACCCTTAAAAACTCCAGAGATTATTTTTATCCTTGAAGGAGCAGCTTCAAAACCCCAAACTCAGCGCACTGGTGGCCTGAGCCCAGTGTCACCTCACTCTCAGCACCCCCCCAGCCCAGCTGAGAGCCAGGGCAACCCTGTGGCTATTTATAGCAGGGTAAAAATGAACCCTGTTTTTATATCATTATGCCTTTTTGCAGAGATCTGTTTTTACAGGGAAATATTTCAGGAATCCTGAAGGA